TCATTCAACAAATGAACGCAACGAATATTTATTTATTTAGTGTTTAGTGTCTTTAATTTGTTTATTTTTTTTTTTAATTATTCATTTATAAATGCAATTATGCCACAACGTTGCATAATTCCGGGTTGTTTTGGAGAAGCGAATCGTTCAGTTTTTAGAGTGCCAAAGAACATTGATAGACGTGAAGAGTGGTTAAAAGCTATTCGTGATGTGTTTCCTAACCTGGATGTTGGTGAAAATTTTTATGTTTGTGAAAAACATTTTAAAGAAGTAGATTTTACGGCATTTTTAATTGACAAATCTGGAAAAATTATTCAAAAGGTAGGTTAGGTAGGTTGTAATATACAATACAATAAATATAATACAATAAATAAATAAAAAATAGCTTTATGCCATACGTATGCATATGTACACATCCATCTACGAACACGTAAATATAGCTTTATATGCGTTAGCAATAAAATGTAAAATATTTTTGAGTGAATTTGCTAATCTTTAAATAAAAATAAATAAATTCGTGCAAATTCAAGTAAAAGACATCGTCGAAAATGGCCCCAATATGAACAAGCATGAATATTTTACAATAAATCGCCGACATCTTTACTGTCATGTCGTATATGAAGCTGTTAAGGATGTTCTACTTGTAATGTATATAATAATCGATAACTTGATTACACTTTAATTTTTACACTACGAACGATTTTTTTCATTCGTTATAAATTGACATATTAATAAATGGCGAAATATAAAAAAAATACTTTTTAAAACTGAATACAATATTCGTATATGATTTAATCAAATACTTTTTATTAGCACATAATCGTATGCTATTTGGTTAAGCATTTGAGAGTATTGCATGTTTTAATGTAGTTATGTTTTAATTGCATGTTACATGTTTGATATACATTACCAATCATATTATAAAAAAAATCTGTTGAAGTACCTACTGTAGGTACTTAAACATAATTATAATTGAATAGTATTTCTTCTTCTATTTTTATTTACTTAATTCTTTATAAAAGTTTATTTTTACAAAGAAACAAATATGGGTAGAATAAATAAATGTAGGGTACTTTGTTAAAAGCAAAAACGCACTGCAAAAGTAAATGGTATCGAAAATCATAAAAATCTTTTTCAACCGAATTTTATCGAATCCCATCTTAGTGTATCTGGAACTGGTGAATTTTTTTATCAATTACTCATATATCCATTCATACATAGACGTATCCACGCATAAAATATGGCTATATCAATGATACAGCCAACCAGGGTTTTTTAAAGTTATGGAAATCAATCGAATTAACGCTGTGAAGTAATTTAAAGAGGCATTTAGCTACGTTATACAATTATATTACCGTGAAATAGTTTTTATAAATAAAATACTTATGCCATAGGTCTCGAAATTTTTCTATTATACGAAATACCCCTCGTTTAATAATTCGGATAATTGGCATTCTACTGTATTATTTAACAAAAGTTCTGAAAACCATAAAAACTAGGTAAGTTAAAATTCACGTAATTTGAGTTCAACTCAGTTTCAACTCGAGTTATTTAAAACTCGAGTTGAAACTGGATAAATGATTTAGTTTGTTTTGACCAATTTAATGAATCACATTCATAATATTAGATATTTAAATATTAAGCATAAATATTTATGAGGACCATTATAATTAATTAAAGTAGGGAGAATTGAATTAAAAAAGTACTTTATTTTTCGTTTATATATGTTTTTTGTATGATATGTGACATAAATGAAGTAAGTATTTATATTAATTATCAACAATACTAGTTATGTTTTATTTTAGCAGTCTTCACTATTTTTTTCTTTTTAGTTCCGGTATTTTTTCTATACAATACTTAATGATTTGAAAAGTTAACAACAATATCAACCGGCACTTCAAATATATGAATATAACCTCAAATCTGTTACGATGTTGTGTTGTTGTGACATAGCTAATGAATGTAATCTTAAATGATCGGCAAACTTCGCGCCATAGTAGTGTGATTTGGCTGCACGAATGTCAATTTAAACTGGATTGTGCAGTGTTTCATTAAAAACGGGCAGAGTGAGAGAGTAAATTAGTAACTCTTCATCTCTGTCTTAGTAGTTTTGTAGGATGTCCACGCGTTTTTAATAATTTCATAAATAGGTAATATTTAATAATGTTAATAATATTTTTAAACTCACACGATTTGTATACATTATAATTATATGCCATCGGGTCTTGTTCGTGCATTTTTTAAAACAATTAATTTACCTCGACGTTTCGGCTACGTTACAGCAGCCGTGGTCACGAGGAGACTGGAGACGACACCCGCCAGTTCTCCAGTCTCCTCATGACCACGGCTGCTGTAACATAGCCGAAACGTCGAGGTAAATTAATTGTTTTAAAAAATGCACGAACAAAACCCGATTGCATATAATTATAATTTAATAATGTTTACATAACCAAATTTAAACATTTACAGATATAATTTTATAAATTTTTATAGATATTATATTAGAAATTTAACCGATAAATTAGTTTTTATTTATCGGTAAAGATATTTATTTTGTAGGAAATAAAACAAGTACATAAATGTTACTATAATCATCTATAATGTATAAATCAATTAAAAGGATAGAAATGTTTTTTTTTCCTATTAATTGTATTAGAATACAACGGATCACTTTGCCTGGTATTACGAGGGTCAAACTGAAAGTTCTTAGAACTGGCCACTTATAAACAATATAATAAAAAAATAATTCTAAAATTTGAAAATATAACTCTTTGCCAATATTACTGAGTATATATTTCATTCATTTGTCATTTGTTTTACGATTTGGCGGCAAATTGAAAATTGTCTGTGTCACGTCATCATGAATTTAACACGAGAAAATTTTCGTGCAATGATTTTTTATGACTTTCGATGTCATTTAAGTCAACAAGAAAGTTATGATAGACTACGATTGGCCTTTCACGATGAAGCCCCATCTCGTGCGACTGTTTACAACTGGTTTAATGAGTTTAAACGTGGTCGCACTAATCTCACTGATGATTTATGTGAGGGACGGCCTTCTACGGCGACGACTGAAGATAACATCTGTGTTGTGCGGCGTATGATAGAGACTGACAAAAGAGTGACCTATCAACAGATTCGGACAAGCTTAGGCATCGGTATGAGTCAAGTGCACAAAATCCTCCACGAACATTTAGCGGTCAGAAAGCTTTGCGCCCGGTGGATACCTCATAATTTGACTGAGGCTCAAAAACTCCATCGTGTGGATTGGTGTCGTAAAATGATTGAAAGATTTAACGGAGGTGACTCAAATGCTGTGTTCGACATACTAACAGGTGACGAAAGCTGGATTTACTGTTATGATCCTAAAACCAAAAGACAATCTGCTCAGTGGGTGTTTCCTTTCGAGGAGTTGCCAACTAAAGTGAAGAGAGATCGAAGTGCGGGAAAAAAAATGGTGGCCTCGTTCTTTGGAAGGATAGGTCATTTTGCAACAATTGTGTTAGAGGATCAAAAAACAGTTTCTGCAGAATGGTACACTACCAATTGTTTGCCACTTGTCTTGGAAAAAGTTCGAGAGAAACGACCTCGCAGTAGGATCCTCCTTCACCACGACAACGCCTCGTCGCACACCGCCAAGCGAACGATCGACTATTTGGCGACATCAAACGTTGAATTACTGGGTCACCCGCCGTATAGCCCCGACCTCGCGCCTTATGATTTTTATTTATTTCCAAAAATTAAAGAAAAACTTAAAGGAAAGCGGTTTATGAATGCTGAAGAAGCGGTGGCTGCGTATCGCGATGCCATTGAAGAGACCCCTAAGGACGAGTGGGCAAAGTGCTTTTCCCAGTGGTTCCATCGCATGCAGCGGTGTATTGACGTGAATGGACAATATTTTGAAAAGATATAATAAAACTAATAACTGGCTAATGTAATCAGTTTTTGATTTTCTAAGAACTTTCAGTTTGACCCTCGTATTGTCCTCCATTTTTCAGCTAGACTTTTATCCTTTAGGATCCTAGAAACATAAGAGCAATTTTGTCATGGTCAGCATAAGAAAATTATTACTTTATAAATATTTATCCAAACTAATGTGTAGGCCATTCAGATATTTTCCAAAACATAATTAAGCTAGTTCTCGTTTTTCATTTTCCAAATAACTTTGTACCTACCGTGAAAATATTGATAACAAAGAATGGCGGGTAGCGTAAGTAAAACTTATAAATGTTTATAATATAAACGTATGAATATTAATTTAAATCAAAGCCTCTTTGATATGGTTTTGTTTCTTGATCGTAGACACCCTATTTCATCACTGTTTAATAAATAAGGAAAACAGCTTACCTGTGGAATGTGAAGTCACATTCGTGATACCATTCATTTTTGCAATCAGCCAAGCAAAACAATATACCATTTTGATGTAAATAATCGAATTAGTAAGTCAAAACACAAATAAACATTAAACTTTAACATTGTTTATGTTGTCACATCGAGCGGCCATATTAATTTATAATATTGCTACTTAAATGTAACGAAAAACTACTAACACGACATCGGTTTACATTATAATTTTAATTAATTCACACTTTTACTTAAAAAACATATCAACTATGTCTATTCAATATGTTTACTAATAGATAATAATTAAAATTACCTAGTGATGTCTTTAAAAAATCAATAAAATCTCCTAATTGCCAATAACAATTATTTAATTTTCCAATGGCAACTCGTTAGACAAGGACCTACTACTACAAATCTAATATCTCTAGTAGACCGTTTTTCTACTCTGAAATGTGACATAGAAAAATAAACCTTATTTTATATTAGATAAAGTGTAAGTTTGATTTTAAGAAATATATCAGTACGCAATCCAGTTTAAGTTGACATTCGTATTTGGCTGTAGGATTAGGGCCCCGCCCTTCAACTCGAGTTAATTCGAGTTGACACATCGCTATTCTGAATGGACATCCTTATTTGATATTCAGAGGAGTGCGAGTGCGAGCTTCCCTAGTAATTCTGTTCTGTGGTGCGAGCGAACGTTGTGAAATTTAAAAATATTTTTTTTTATCAAGAAAGATTCTTTTTTTATTCTACTTAACTTTAATTTTGAATGATTGAAAAACTATAAATGGGATAATTATACAATTTTAACTAATCTCTTAAATATGGATTCTAATGATTCGAAAATAGAAGATGGCTCAGTTTGCCATACCATATTAGAGAAAATTATTGCTAATAACGAAAATGTTATTACTAAGGTATATCACAAAGTTCTTGGAATTTTATGTTGAAACTTTAAAAATTATGTAAAGGTTTTACTTTGGAAAGGCCCGAATATTTTCGGAATAATCTTTTATTTCGTTAACCAGTCAAGTATGTATGAATTTAATATTTTAGTGATCAACTATTTTTTAGGCACCAGATATTAATGATTTCACCATTGTGAAACCTATTAGCCGTGGAGCATTTGGCAAGGTATTTTTGGCTCACAAAAAGAATAATAAAGAGCTTATGTATGCTATTAAAGTTATGAAAAAATCAGATATGATAAACAAAAATATGGTTACGCAAGTAGTGACTGAAAGAAATGCGTTAGCATTGTCGAGAAGTCCATTTTGTGTTCATTTGTTCTACTCCCTTCAATCTGCATCATCTGTTTACTTGGTAAGACTTAACATTTTATTTTTAATAATGGTATCTAAAATTTTTATTTAGTAATTTTTTACTGCACAGGTGATGGAATACATGGTTGGAGGTGACTTAAAATCTCTTCTTAATGTTTATGGATTTTTAGAAGAGTCCATGGCTATTTTTTATATTGCTGAAGTAACATTGGCATTAGATTATTTGCACAAACACAATATAGTTCATAGAGATTTGAAGCCTGATAATATCTTAATATCTAAATCAGGTCATGTTAAGCTCACTGATTTCGGTCTGTCTAAAATTGAGATACATAGAGGTTTGTTATTTTATTATGATTATTCATATTAGTTACTTTATTACCCCATAACTTTCAGGCATTTAACATACATAAACATCTGTATGCTCCGGGTTCAATGAGTTGATAGAAATTTGAATTTCATAACACACTACATAAATTTATAATATCAATACGCAAAAAATTTTTGAATACATTTTATTAATTTATGTCAATTTTGTTTTTATTTAAAAAAGAAGTTTTTGCTTTGTTTTAGATCTAGAGGTATCAGATTTTGTGAACAGAACTCCAAGTCTCAATATGAGAACACCTGGTCAGCTCTTGTCATTGACATCCCATTTGTCATTTGGTTCTGGAGGGGGAGAGAGTACACAGACCTCGCTCATGTCTACAGACACTTGTGAGAACCTCCTAGATGAACTTAAAGAGAACAGTATGAATTTCAAAGTTGCTATCCATGTCTTGAACTAATCAGATTGAAATTATAAGTCAACAACAAATATAAGCAATGTAATTAGCTATTTACTATATAATACCTAATTGTTGCATTTTTTATTTAATTTCAGGCAAACTTCAAGGTGTGCTTGATAGTATTAGTGGTTTAGAAAATTCACATGTCATGGACCATTCTCAGCTCTCTGGCATACATCCTTTTATGAGTGCTGAGAGTATTAATTTAGATGATGCAGCAGTAAGTATTTGAGTATTGTTTACCAGAATTATTTTCAATTTTAATACCCAATATTGAATAAAAAGATATATGTTCTGTGTGTGTTTGAAAATCAAAGTGAAACACTATTAAAGATATACAATGGTGTTACAATATTGCTAAAAATAAATATGTACCTAATTGAAAAACATGGCTTAGTATAAAAATATTATATATATTTTTTTATAATTTATCAAAAATTCTATCTGGATATTTTCTAAACATTTGACTGGTACACTTGGCACATAATTTCAGACCATTTTAACAATCATAAGTACAGTAGGTAACTAGACAATCCTTAAACATTTCAGTCACTAAATTCTGGCTCCGAATCTCAAAGCTCCTTTCACACATGTGAAAGCTCCAAGAATAGTTCAAATTCTAGGAGTAACAAATCAACTGACATCAGTAGTAACAACGGTTCTGTGGGAGAATCGACAGTGTTAACAGATTCACAACACGATCAGTCTACGTCACCCGTGTGTAGAGGCAATTCTTTGAGAAGAATACCTAGGTATGTTATTAATATAATATTTTTAAACAAAAATTCCACAAATTCAATATCTCAGAGTAGCTCAGTGGCGTAGTGGATAAGCGCCGCGGCCCGCGATCGTAGTCGTTAAGCAAGTTTCGCAAGGGTCGGTCACGGGATGGGTGACCAAAAAAAAATTATTATCTCGAGCTACTCCGTGCTTCGGAAGGCACGTTAAGCCGTTGGTCCCGGCTGCATTTGCAGTCGTTAATACCCTCCAATCCGCATTAGGCCAGCGTGAAGGGTCATGGCCTATCCTCCTTAACCATCCATAAGGAAGGCCTGAGCCCCTGCAGTGGGGACGTAAAAGGGCTGGTGGTGATGATAATATCTAATTTAATTATTGTAGTTTTAGGGCTAAAAAGAGAAAGAGAATTTTAGATGGTGATGGCGATACGCCTACTGGTGTTACAAGTTTAGCTGACTCTAAAGAGAATCATAGTGGACTCACCCAAGAAATCATGGCACTGGAGTTGAGTCAGAACACTCCTAAAAGAATTTCATTACATCCCACACCTGAGCGACGTAAAAACCCAATTAAAGGAGTCTTGAAAAAAAGGTAAATATTAATTTGTCGGTATTTTATTATAAAATTAAATAGTTTTTATTTACATAAATTCTTACATCACCAAAGTCCTTCAGGCCAATCAGCCTCACGTCATTTCTTCTGAAGACCATGGAGAAGGTATTAGACAATTATATCAGACAAGGGAGTCTTATCAACAAACCCATACATGATACCCAGCACGCCTACCGAAGCGGCAGATCTACGGAGACTGCCCTACTAAACCTTATAGACAAGGTTGAAAAGGCACTGGACGATAAAGAAATAGCACTCGTTGCTTTTCTTGATGTGGAAGGAGCGTTCGATAACACGCCCACCGAGACATTAGTAAGAGGATTAGTCCATAAAGAGATTGACTCCACTACTGTAAGATGGATAAGAACCATGCTAGAGAGTAGGACAGTGAGGATGGAACTACTCAATGATTCACTAGAGTTAGCAACAACAAGAGGATGCCCACAAGGTGGAGTACTCTCTCCGCTACTGTGGACTCTTGCGGTGGATCAGCTTCTCCATAAGATGGCTGAACTCCGCTTTGACACCCTGGGCTATGCCGATGACCTGGTGGTGATAGTGAGAGGAAACTGCCAAAGTATGCTATCGCACCTTATGCAGAGGGCGCTGAACACAATTAACTCATGGTGTAAAAACAATAATCTGTCGATTAATGCAGGCAAAACCGTGGTCGTCCCATTCACAAGGAAACGAAAGCTGGACAAGCTTTCGCCTCCGACCATGAATGGGAGGCTCATTCCGTTCTCGACAGAGGTCAAGTATCTGGGGGTAACACTGGACCAGAAACTTACCTGGAACGCACACGTAGACGGAATTATACAGAAGTCTAAAACAGCTCTGATGATATGTTGTCGGCTAGCGGGAAATAGATGGGGCTTGAAACCCAATATAGCCCTCTGGCTCTACACAGCCATCATAAGGCCGATGGTGTCTTACGCCTCGGTGATTTGGAGTAGAAAAACGACACAGAGTACTATCATATCAAGACTTAACAGTCTGCAAAGGACTGCTTGTCTTATAGTAACAGGAGCTATGTCTTCCACCCCGACTGCAGCCCTTGAGGCTCTGCTAAACCTGCCGCCCCTACATCTACACATTGAAATGGTGGCGAGGGCTAGCATGTACAGGATTACTAGCATGGAGGCGAAGACATGGCTGTCAGGTAATTTGAGGTACTTGAAGGACTCAATATGCAATATACCAATCCTGGGGATGCCTACTGACACCATGCCCCCGAGAATCGATTCACACAGGACATATCTTGTGGAGATACCCACCAGGGACGACTGGTCAAACAATCGTATAGTATGGAAAAATGGAAGCCTAAAGTGGTACACTGACGGCTCCAAATCCGGTCCTGAGGTAGGATGTGGAATTCATGGAGAAGCCCCAAGGAAGGCTATAAGTCTGAACATGGGAAAGTACTCCTCAATATTCCAGGCAGAGGTGTACGCCATTTTGGAATGTGCGGCAGCCAATCTGCAAAATAACTACCTCAATCATACTATCTACATCCACTCTGATAGTCAAGCTGCACTCTTAGCACTAGCTTCCGACATAACTAGATCGAAGCTGGTCGAGAACTGCAAACAGACACTGAACTCTTTGGGCAACAACAACAAAGTAGTTCTACGATGGGTTCCAGGGCACGCTGGACACGAGGGCAATGAACAGGCGGACAAACTGGCGAAAAAGGGTGCTAAAGACGCCCTTATCGGACCAGAACCTTTCTGTGGCATCCCTCAAAGCCTAACCCAGCTCACCTTGAAAACTTACTGCCACTACGCAGCTATTCAACTATGGAGAAACACTCCCGGTATGAAACACTCTAAGACCCTGATTAAAACCTTCAACAAAAAGGCGGCATCAGAGGCCTTAAACTTAACCAAAACTCACCTTCGCACACTAGTACGAGCACTCACAGGGCATTGTGGACTGAACAGACACATGCACAATATGGGGATCAGCGACAGTAGAATGTGCAGAGGATGCAAGGAGGAAGAAGAAACACCTTTGCACATTTTGACCGATTGCCCGTTACTAATGCGAAAACGATGTATCTATCTGGGAAAGCACGTGATGCACCCAGACGATATTAAAGAACTTACGGCCAAGAAAATACTACAGTTCCTTGTAGAATGTAATCTTGACCGTGAACTGTAGTATGTGGAGATCACAATAGATCAGCAATGGTCGCAGTGATACTGGGCTGCATAAACCCAAGATAATCCGCAACTCGAAACAATACAATACAATACATAAATTCTTTTTGTTTTTTTCAGATGGGCTTCACAAGATGACAGTCACCATTTCAATGTGGGAGTTATATTTTCCACTCCTGTATCTAACAGTAAATCACCAGGTGCTAAAAAGAGGTTGAAAGAAACTCGTTTTAATCTTCCTAAGGATGAGAAACAACTTGATATATTAAGTAGCATAAAAGAACAAAATGTAGTATTTAGTAAACATATCTCTACTAGTTTAGAAATATTCCCTACAAGAAGAATGAGTAAGGTGATTTTAAAAATTTATTTTGTTACATTAGTAATGATAACTGTAGTGTAAAAGTATATAAGTATACTTAAATGACTGATGCCTATAATTTAATATCAAGAATTGTTTTAAATTAACATTAAAATATATATTTTTAAGGTCTTTATTTCTTCATAATAATATTCACAGGGTGAGAAGTCTCCAACAGACTTATGTAAGACTCCATTAGCAGCAGCCCAGACACCATACAGGACACCAAAAAGTGTAAGACGTGGCAATCAAATATCAGACCAAAGGATTTTGGGCACTCCTGATTATCTGGCACCTGAATTACTATTAAAGTATGTTGTTTATTATTTATTTAAAAACCTAAGGAAAAGGGTAGTTTTGACCTTAATAAATTTTTGTTTTCTTAGTGTCGATTCAGATTTGATCTGTATATTAACTATTATTATATTTATTGACCATGCAGGAAAGGTCATGGGCCAGCAGTTGATTGGTGGGCACTAGGCGTTTGTCTTTACGAATTCATGACAGGTGTACCTCCTTTTAATGATGAAACTCCTCAAGCTGTGTTCCAAAATATACTATCTAGAAGTGAGTGTTATTTTGATTAATAATAAATATGGTGAAACAAAAACACTAGATTTTCCAATCCTACTTGTTGCGGCACTCCCGGTTGATCCCGAGAGTGCTTGTACAACAAATGCATTTTGTAATTAATTTTAAAAAGGTTATTACTCATTATGATTCTGGGTGATCAATGGAGAATTATCTAACATTACAATATAAATAATAATCACATCAAGATAAATGTAATTAATCTTATCACTGAATATGTAAAAGATTCAATTAATATACAAGTAATTAACACTAATAAACAATAACACTAATTAGAAAAATTACCTGATGAAAAATTTCTGCAATCGCGAACGCGATTGTCAATACTGAGGCTTACAATCAAAACGGAATCAAAATCAAAATTAGACCTTAAAGCGGTTTAGATTTTAAACCGGACATTGATTATAAAGTCAAACAAACGATGTCAGGGTTTTGCTTATTAAGATAAATATTTTGGGGTTATTGTACAGATATCGAATGGCCGGAGGGTGAAGAGGCATTGTCTTTTGAGGCGGTCGGTGCGATAGAGGCACTTCTAACCATGGAGCCGTCGGAACGGCCGGCTGCCACGCAAGTCAAGACAATGTTGTTGTTCAGGAACGTGGACTGGGAGAATCAACTGAGCGCGGAACCGCCTTTCGTGCCTACACCCGATGATTTACATGATACTGGTTATTTTCAAGGTAGGAGATTTTGACATACCATAAAAATGTATAGTCGCCGAATATTTGCTACGTTAGGCAAATTTTCAAAGACTATGTTTTTCGTATCAAAAAGAGATTTTAATGAGTAGATCTTTGTAAAGTTGAGAGATAATTATTTAAGACAAGACGAAGTAAGTATATCACTAAAACAGATTGAAATTTCCTTGTTACAGCTCGCAACATATTACAGCAATTGCATGTCTCCAACTTCGATATGTAGAGGATCTGTCATATATATATATTTAATTTATATTAAGTGGAGCACATAACACAATATAAAAAAATTGTACATTTCTAAATATGCTATTAAAATGATACATCTTTAAAGAAATTATGTAAAATAATATTTAGTATGAGTTTTTGCTAATATATAACTTTTTACGCAATACAAATACGCTTGAATTACCTATTCGCTTATACAATTGTGTACTGATTTTACTACGCAAAAGACTGAAAGTTGGGTCGAATATGTTAGAATAATTTTGTATTTATAGTTTTAAAGTACCTACCTTTAGCTAATTAATTTATAATATGAGGATATAGAGAAATTAAAATAAAAAACATATTATTTTGTATTGAATTGTTTTATTACAAAATATGGCCATTTTAAAGCGGACAGGCATCAACTGATTAAGAAAAGCAAGTTCGTGTTGTCTTTCTCAAACGATTGATTTGTATGTAAACCGATACGATTTTCAAGGAAGCATATAGTTTATGTGGAAAGAGTTTCTACTTGGAGTTCTTCTGGATCCAAGGCAAGAATGCGGTTATTCGTGTGTAGACGCCCGGGTACTGTCCCTTGCCGCAACCAATGCCCCAAGAGACTACACCCACTTGGGTCCATCGACCTCCTTCATTCACCATTAGTGGACCGCCGCTGTCGCCCTATAAATATTCAAAATAAGTAGTTTATTTCAATCATAAGATAGCTAAAGGTCTATAACACCAGTGGTCTGGTGGCTTAGTATAATTAGTTTTTTCCTCGGAATGAGAGGTAATGAGCTGACAACCCGCATGAAATTTGATTTTAGTTTACTAAAAGATTCCATTTTTTTTTGTATAAAAATACAAAACAAAATTGATTGAATACAAGTGTCTCAGATATTCTATTCCTATATCATTTCGAAACTCACTTCACTTATGTTACGAAACGTTATTACCAATTCAAGGTTGAGCGTATACCTCTTTTTGAAGTCAATTCGGACACCTGAGAGAATTCGAATTCGGGTTTGGAGTTTTACAGAATTGCAGGGCTGTATAAGGGCTTATGTTGACATTAAGAGCCTAACGGTTGTGGGCTCATAAAAAAAACCTCTTGTGTTTTTGAAGTTCATTGCAATAATGACGAGTAATACGGGAAAAAATATACTACTTTCAAATTTTAAAAGCCTATAGAAAGCTTATATTTCCCCACTCGATTTGGAATCTTCTTAATATGTTGATGGCAGAGGTCAAAGTACATTGCAGAAATTTGACATTTTGTGCTAACCTGACTTGCAGCCGAGTGAACTGCAATCTTTATACATGGTTCCATCAATAATAATTATAAAGGCGGAAAAAAAAATGTCTTACACTGCAAGAGTCCATGTTGGCTCTGCCAGCGCACAGCATGTGGTCGACGATGCCCCCGGGCGCGGCGCCACCATACTTTAGGCGGCAATCTGAGTTTGACCAAATGGGGATGGTCACTTCTTGGAGAGTCGCTGGTTGAGGACCGCCTTAAATGAGAAATAATTTTACAGAAATATTGACGAGAATATGTGAATATTATGTCGATATTATGAATGATGCATAGCCTGTTTAGGTCATTATAAATAATTTTGAAAAAGTGCGTTGATTATGACTTTACTAAGGTTTTTGAAGAATATGCATTGTTGAACGTAAATTTTCGTAACGAGATGTTTTTTTTTAAATACAAGGTCCAAGGCATTGTAGGGAAAATACTGTTTTAAAGTACTTACTCTCCCGTAAACTTCCCCATCCAATTACAGTCGCTGTTTGACCAGTATACATGCGTCCCCCACTTGGCAAACATACTGGTCTGATATTCTTAGTAAACGATACTGGTTGGTCAAGAGTTAATATAGCTATATCGTTGTACTAAAAAAAAGGAAAATAAAAAAGTATTTATACATTTGCTAATAGTAAATATGATTTCGGATCATTATTTTATGAAGTTCTTTACCAAAGTTCGCATGTCGAATCCCCGATGTCTCACTACTCTCTTTATTTTTCTTTCAATATGTTGGGTTTCTGTGTTTATACGTATGTTGTGGTCACCCAATCTTGCCGTTAAGCGCGCGACGTCCCATGAAGTCATGCTGAGAAGAAAAGAAGTAAAAATTAATCAAGGGTAAGAAATACAGCGTGCATTTCCTCATAAAAGAAAAAGGAAATGCAGTGTGCCTTTCTTTTTCCTTTTTGGACCCAAACCAAAGAACTTTTATAATTTATAAAAGAGTCGAAACAAAATAAAAAATGAGACTAAACCGCTGACCAATGTGACTTAGATAAGGATAGAATATGTCGTGTTCCTCAAAAACTATTTTTAAATTGATAACTTGCAAACTATTGATGCTATTAGGGTAGAAAGTGACTCACAAATATTAGATGGGGGTGAAATGTTAGTGAACTTAATGAATATTGTATTTAAGGAACTTCAACATAAAAATTATTTTTGTTTCGTTTGCGAATTGATGGGGGGTATAAGGAGCAATATAATGAAATTTGAAGGCTTCGGGTACTATATACCTATGAGTTAGTGTTGTAAAGAAATACTTACTGTGCAACGCAATGTGCTGCGGAGAGGACATGCCTGTCGTCTATCAAAGAGCCGCCACAGAACTGTCTGCCGCCGTTGAACAAAGCCACAATCCATGGCCACTCGTTTACCTCTGCGTTCTGCCCGCCTACGATACGCTCGTCATCTGTCTCTATGCTCTGTGAGACCGTAAAAAAATACAATTTCAACATAAATACTAAGGTAGTCTAATGAAATTTAAATTTTCAGTCTTCGCGATTTAGCGCATATTGTGCTTAGCGATAATTCCTAAGTCATAGAGAATCAAGAGTTACAGTATTAAGACTGGACGTAAAGACAAAATACTTCCCTATTTATCTCATATGAGATAGATAAGGACAGAGGATGGTGAATTGAGCATAAAAACTGTTTTTAATTGATACTCAAACTATTTTGATTATTCTAAGAGTTTTTATAAAGCTTTCGACTGCAAAGTGAAGTATTAACTAATTTTCCCTATACAACAATTATGCGATGAAATGAAATAAATGGTAAATACGGTGATATCTTTGTAATCGTGTTCTATCGAAATTTATTTATATATTAACGTGCCTTCCGAAGCTTGAAGGAGTTACACATAATAATAAGTAAGGAGAGAAATAATAGTCTTCGACAGTTTTTAATTATTACGTCTGGCTCGTAGATCAGCCGCACTAACCACTGAGCCACCGAGCGAGCGAGACATGAACATACTTACTCTAATATTTTTGTTGCCGCATGAACCATCCACCGCAGGCTGTGTCGGTGGTCTGCTTGGTTGAGTTGGGTACATCGGAGGCCACGTCTGTAAGCATTTGTCATATTATTTTTTAGTGCCCGTGAATGAAATTATATAAATATTTTTTGCAATACATACTTGTTTAGTTGTAGGTTTGGTAGTCATTTGTGGTTTAGTTGGCCACGTGGTGGCCATTACACTTGTAGGTGGCTTGGTAGTAACGCCAGCAACTAAAACAATAAAATGGCATATACCTACTTATCACGGTTCGGCTTAGCTAAGGAGAAGCTCTTTCCGGAAATTTAAACCGTTTTTATAGAACAAGGACTTAAGTCGGTAGGTACTTGACTAACCATTGATCGCCTATAGCAAATTAACAATGATAGAAGAGAAAACGTCAAATTGGCTTATTTTGGTAGGATAATGATTTAAACCTGATATTAAGTTTAGTCCTCATTTTATGTTCATTTAAGAGTTTTCTTATTCATAATTTGGGATCTGTGCAACGTATGAGTACGTATTATAAGGTGTCAAAACCATAATTATATTATGTATGTGATGTTCAATATCTTTCTATTAATTATTAAACCGATGGGTTTAATTTCTAAAAGAAATTTAATAATATTATTTAAAAGAAAGTCAGTCGTACTTATCGAAGGGGGATGCGTAGGCGCAGTGTGGTCTGGAGGGTGCGTGGGAAGTGGCGGAATTGCTGGCGGCCATCCTGGAGGTATCTGGCGGACGTTTAACCCACCTGCTCCAAAAGCCCACTCGGGAGACAGGGCTGATAATATTCCTCTATGTAAACTACGGAAGTAAAAGTTCATATTAATCTACCATATTTGTATTAAAAAGACGGTGATGAATGGAGAACTTTCTTTATTTGAAAGTGGTTAAAATGCTCTTGAACGTGTAAAAAATTAACCTTATCTAAGTTATATCTTGACTGAAGAATATTAATAAATTAACCCGAAAACCCGGCTGACGTTCGAGGGTCACGAAGGTTGTAGGAAAAAAATAATGTTTTTGAATTTGTTTTGAGTTGCCTATAGTTATGAGTACTTTTATATAGTTACTGGAGGAACTCGACGGCGAAGTGGTTAACGCGTTTGATCTGGGATACGTAGGGTAAACAAATTTCGCAAGATCCGGTCGTAGGATGTGGTCAAAAATTTATTATCTCAAGCTCCTCGTGACTTCGGAAGGCATGTTGTTTGGGACGTCGCCGCCCCCCCTGCATCTGCAGGAGTTAACAGCTACCAATCCGCGTTAAACCCGTTTCCCTTTTGATTTCCATCTTTGGGGAAGATCTGTGCCCCAGCAGTGGGGACGTTAATAGACAAGATTATCAAAGTCAAAACTAGTTTGAAGCCCTTTAATCGACTAACATTTTTTCCCTACAACTCGTTCAGGACGTCTTTTGTTGGATAAGAAAAACGAGCAAGAAACTCACCAGCTCTAATGGAAGTTACAACATTCACAACAAACATGTAATTACAAGATCAGTACGATGATGATGTAGTTACTATATTTTTCTTACCTGGATAATTGTGGTGGTAACTGCATTGGGATAGCAGGAGGTAAGATACCTAGTCGCTGGACATCTGGCTCTTGTTGGGGCGGAGTTCCAACTGGTTCTGTGCAGCAAACACCGAACACCTAAAAATATTTAATATTATACTTACTTGATATACGTCTATAGTTTTACACATATAATTTACCGTATTATTTATTGAATTAACTTCGAAGTATGTCTTCTACTAAACAATCTTACCGCCAGCGGCCTCTCCCGTGGTCAATTGTTTACACGTTGACACATTTATCCTCAGCTAATTGTTTAGTGGGATATAAAGTAGAAAGTTTAAGTTGAGAATTTCATCTAAATCCGTTCAGTAGTTTTTGTATGAAAAAGAAACATACATAGGTATACTTATAGTACATCTACCCTCAATAACTTTCGCATTTTAGGCCAGACAGACTCATGCCGGGAAGTCTCGCCGAGCCTTCGTGGCTAGAAAAAATATAAAGGAATGAGTAGACGAGGAACATCACATCATGAGTCTCGGGGTTTCTCGGCGTGAGTCTGTTCGGCATATTAAAGTATATGTGTCAACATTATACCTTATTCAATATTAAGAATTAAGGATTAATAAGTATGAAACTGTTACTTACCTCCATATTATCACCGCTGATATAACTGCAAGTGTCATAATGACCCATAACCCACCCGTCGCCACCGTTGAGGGCAACCACTTTTATTAGAGGATAACACTCGCGGAATTCCTTGCATGTTCCTTTTTTGCCTAGAGTTGTCTCGCAATCTTGACCAAAAGCGCCTTCGTCAGCCTAAAAAAAAATTATATTCTAAAGTCATGAAACAAATGATATTTGCGGATTTTTATTCTGAAATAAAATCGAACTGCGCTGGTTTCTTTCAATTTCCACTTCACATAGTGACAGGTTCTAAAACACATTCTTTCCAGTAAATTTTGATGACTTACTAACTGAGGGCGAATAAAGTGTCTCAGTTCAATTTGTCGTTTTAGTCAGTTTGCTAGTGTGAATCAAATCTTGCAAGCAAAATTTTTACATGCATATAACTTAGATGACAATGCGTATAAGTATCTATGGAACGGACCTGATATGATTTTGGGCCAGATAGTAACAAACAAACGAAACCCGTCGAATTTGGGCGTTTGGTTCGCTATAATAATCAGTCCGACGATGAAACTAGAATGTGACTAAGTATAGGAACTTTGTAAATAATGTAACGCAACCCTGAGGACAAAATAACCTAAGTCTGTTTTCCACTTTATTTGTTAATTACATAGTAGATTTAGCTTTTTGACCCCACACAAATATTTCTACGTATTCTAATACAAGTCTTGGATCCACATCGATTATTCTAATTGTAATATGTTTATGCTTTTTTTTTTAATTATTTTGTCGTGTTTTGTTGAGCGAACAAGTGATATAATCGTTCCCTGAGAGTTCTCTAACGGATTGACAATATCATTGCGCAAATCACATTATTAATTTAGGTAGGAATCAAAAACAAAGGTTTGGGACGACAGAGTATTAATATCCTACTTATTACTAGCATATTTATACCTAGATAAGCCATTGAGCTACTGTATTCAACATGACACCTACTACTCGTATGAATAATTAATAGTATGAAGATTTATACTTCATACGAGTAGTATATAATACTTCATACTACTCGTATGAAGTATTATATCATGGCACCTAAAGCCTTAATAATCCTATCCTGTTCTCTGATAATGAAATTTCGTATTATTTAGAAATGCTAATATGATGCCAATAAATTTAAAGAAACATATTTTTCGATTATTAAGATCTAATGGAGGTAGGACCTGACCCTGATGCATGGAAAATATTCATGGATATGATTTAAAAAAAAAAACTATTTTAATTTTATCGATTTTTCATTCGAGAACAATAATAGGCCCTTAGGTGTCATATTGATCCGTACGAGTTATAGGTAGGATTCTTGGATAGCATGTCACGCCCCATGTGTATCATTGTATTGTATTTAAAAATTTGCTTAACCTTTATGGGATGAGACTATTTAATAATATTACTTTTAAACGGGTTTAAACGCGTATTTTATGACATTTCTAAATGCTTCTGAACTTTTATAGGCGTCGCCGTCAATACTATGTCGCCGTACTCGCTTTATATAACACGCACTTAAACTCGTTCAAAAGTAGTGTTATTAAAATTGAGTAGGACCTAGTGCGCGCGGAAATCTACCTGAGAAATAATTTATGGGTCCATAGAATGTTGATATTTGTATATGTGATTTCTATTGTTCGAAAAAAGATTTCCTTCCATAGAATTAACATGAATAATGATGTTAAATCAGGATCGGTGTAACACATGTAGGCATTGTTTCATTTTGTAAATGTAGGCTAATGACAAGTTGTTAAAATGTCAATGTCAATTCCATACATATATTTGTAGGTACGTAATTTAATAACAGTCATGCTTACCGTTCTAGTTTGGAATAAGAATAATTGTTTTCCATCGCGTGTGCTATTTTGTGCATCTCGTTTTGACCGGGAAACTGCTGCTGTAAAATAAATTTTTATTGAAGCTGATTTAGAGTTGTCAACTGAAAAAGATAATTTTGCTTAATGCGTTTATTGCTAAAGTATTAAATTTTGTAGTTTTAAAAAGGTTTAAAATTAAATGAAACCATATGACTCATTTTCGGAAGTATGAAGGATCTTGGTCGGTCGTTCTATAGAAAGTTGCTGAACTTGTAGAGTAGCTTTTCATATGTCGCTTCATCATCGTCATCATCAGTAGCCTAGTAATGTCCAGGGTGAATAGACCACCGCGCGGACCTACTGCGGTTTGGTGTGTATTACGGATTGTAGATGTGAATTTTGAAGCAGATTTCTTGTCACCTATCCTATGACTGGCTCTTGCGAAGGTTTCTCCCAATACAGACCAAGTGCGTTAATCACTTCACGTTACATGCTTAGAACTGTGACTTCATACTGAAATAACATTAAATTCATACATAATTTTTTTATTTATTTGATTTTCGTAGTTTGATAATTGATACTGGGGCGCGATCATATTTATGGTGATTTTAGGAAGGTTACCTTTGTATCATAATGCGCATTTTTCAAGTCAAAACTTGTAATTGATAATGTACTAAGTATTGAGTTTCTTATTCTGTACGAACAGTTTGATATAAAAATAGACGTACGAGTGCAGCGTCCACTTGATAGGCGTAATTCATTACTAATTAATAAAAGGATCCGAAGGCTTTCGACTCCAAGTTGTTGTTAAGGTCAACTGGAGTTGGGAGCAAAAGTATCACAAAAATGTACTTTTTAACTGCCGAGATTCAGTATGTAAATTAGCAGATAAACAATATTTTACCTACGGGAACATAAATTATAATTTACGCTCGCAGAGTATAGGAAATCACCTAGTTTAGGTACAAAAATTAATCTTAAGAGGGAGTCTATATCTATTTCGTACACCAACGAGACAGAAAGGGATAGCAAGATTCGACGTCAAAACTTTTACTTTCATTTATAAATAAATGAAAAAATTTAAAAGAATTGGTAAATATTGGTGAAAGTCGCGACTAAATTTGTGATTGAGCCCTTAGAAACATGATGCAGTTTTATCATTTTTAATTACAGCATATTTGTAATAGTTGGCATATAGTCATTTTGGTGTAAGCAATCTCTTCAAGAATAATTATAAATCAATAGGTTTTTGCTAATTGACAGCAAATATTTTTATAGCTTTTATGTTTGGATTTTAAGTAGTTAACGGTAATAACATTTACTTTGAATGTACCGTAATCGACGATATGTATGTGAGCTAACAAAACCGGCTGTAGGTACTCTTAAGGATTAGAGGAATCGATTCAGTTCAAGTATCAAAGCACTTCATTCGAAGTTTGAAAATTTAAAAATAACGGGCCAAAAGCGAATCGGACTCGCGCGCAGAGGTTTTAACCGATTTTAATAGTTTAGTAGAAAATTGGCTAATATGATAAAGAAATGAATAGATTATAAAATATGAAAAGTGTAACGACGTATTGTTTATGAATGTATTGTGTTTATGCAAAAACCAATTAATGTTGTAATATGAAAGTAATAAAAAAAACAAATAAAAGTATGATGTAATGTCATAAACAAGATTTATTTTTAAAAGGAAGGTGGCTATTTTAAAATAAACTTATTTTCATGTGTTGGAAAAGATCTATTTTCTGTAAAACAATATTCTCCAATAGTTTCTGATACTTATTTTTATGAAACTACTTAAAAATACTTGTTCCTTATATTTTTATTATTCGGTTCCATATTTTTTTTAATTGTGAATGTGTCCAATAAATGTACTTTGAAAGTAGCTTTGCTTTTAATTTATCAAAAGATGACTAACATTTTAGTTTAAGAAAACACGAACTATGAACGATCCGAAATATCTATATGAAAAATGAGAAAAAGAGAAAACAAAACTACACGTGATAAAACCTAAACGGTAAAATAGTTTCATCTAATAACCATGTCACATAGCGGATGAAATGGCTTCTTGTGAGAATTAGCATTCTAGAATTATATGTGTAAGTTCTTTCATCCGATATGTGACATGATATATATTATAAACTTTTATCTTATACAAAAGTAGTTTAAAAGTCCACAGGTGCCCAAGACAAGATATCTCATCTAAGGTACGATTATTCGTTGATGTCTTTTGTATGTAATAATGATTCACTCTTTGCGATAGTATACAAGCTTGTTAAAAAATATAATATACCTACTATAAAATAAACTAAATATAAGTCTTAACTAGTGACTTAAAATCATTGTCACAGCATACATGAAAACCAATATAAATAGGTTTATTTGAAAGCTGTTTTCTGCTAGTATGTGAACTAGGTAGATTGTGACTACACAACTTTAGAGTAATTTCTCAACGTAATTTAAAATATAAAATTTTATTGTTCCTAGCCAGTATTTTCGTGTAAAAGAAAATGGTGGGTTGTGTATAGATAGTGTTTAGATTTATTTACAAGTGTATTCATTAAATCGTAGGTTATCGCCAAAATTATTAACATATAAAAGTTTAAGTATAAAAGTAAATATATTTATTATATTTGATCGATATTACATTAACAATGCTTTTGGAAAATATTCTTAATGAAAAATGCTAAAAAAATCCACGAGCATATGAGAATCCACAATCTGAGATGGGACTCGAACCTACGCACTCCGGGCGACTGCTACTAACTGCTAAAATGATTTTTAATAAAAATATCATTTGAATGAAAATGATATTGATTATATGATATTGATATGAAAATGATATTTAATAAAAATGTCATTTTAATCAAGAATTAAATAATCTCCTTGATGAAGAAAAATGTTGCATAATAATTAGTTTATTGACACGAAGAAAAAATATTATCATTATTTTAAAGAGTCCATAAGAATTTAATACAGCGTGTTTGACCGTAAAAACGCACATGTTATTAACTTGGTACTAAACTACCAAGTGAGTAATATATGATTTCCGTTACGTTAGGATTCCGATGCGATTCACATTGTACCGGCATTATTTGGTTGCGCTTTCAGAATTTTGAATACACAACACCGCAATTTGTACTCAAATAATTTTCTCTCAACGATTTCTTCGTTTTTTTTTTAACTTTGACTCTAAGTAATGCACGCTTGAACAACTAAGTTGCAATTAAAGTTCATGTCACTTGTTGAAGTAAATTCTTGTAATACTCTATATTATATATCCAATCCCATGCATGTAAGTACGTATTTTTATTTTTTTACGTGTGTGAACACGAGAAAATATTTAATTGCCAATACGTGAAACAGACTTTAAAACGCTGTGCAAAGAGATTAAATTACAAAAAGCAAAAAATTGACATTTAAATAAATTTACTGAATATGCAGTCCGATTATTGCTCCTAGGTTCTCCTTGAACTTGGTTGTTGGGCTACATGCATTCGGTGAGTGGTGATTGCAATACAGATCATTTATAAACGATTTAAATTAAGTCTCTTCATAGGTAATTGCCAAAGATTTATCAACATAGGCGCAAAAATGTCGCGGCCGTGAGCAATTTTTGATCTGACAACCAGACAATGGATAGTTCTTCGGTTTCCGGGTTCAGCGATCGTACGCAAGCAAATGTCAACAACGTCACCCTGTTTCAATCTCTAGTCTTCGATCTAATTAATGTCCTCAATATGGCAGCGGCAAAAAAGTACCTACCGATGGCTCGGCTTAATGGTCCATCCAGACGTGCCAACGACCGCTGCTATGTTTGTTGATGCCAATTTATTCGGAAGAGGCAATGTCAAACGGACACATGATTGACGTGGGCGTGTTCATTAAATCTTCAAAATTATATCTACAAATTTTATCGCTTTCGAGCTTACAGCTGCTTCGACTAAAGACTTATCGTTGAGAATTGAATGTGTGACTTCCTTTTTAAAAATGTGCTTATACTTTTTAAGTTAGAGAAATTATTTGTTTATTTAGGTTTATATTTAAAAAATATTGCAAGAATCGAATGCATTATTATAGACCAGGCATGAACTGTATTGGTACTTGTTTGACTAAGCTAAGCTTTCCACAAAATTAGCCACATATTCTTTACCTGTAAAATAATTATTCGAATGCTGTTGTGTCTGCGTAATACGAGATTTAAAAATATTTAGACTTAAATAAATATTTTTTGTCAAATGTAGATAAGCCTATAAATATAATTATAATAAATATGTACTCCTACAAACTATGATTTAATGAGTTTACTCCTGTCATCTTAGTTGTTTACAAAAACGAAACTAAAGTCTCGTGTGTCGCGAATAAAATTTGGCACCAATCAAAATTGCTCTACTTAATTTCATACTACGGCCGTTAATTTTGTTCTAAAAATAATAAAAAAGCTTATACTTTTATAATTGATCTAATATCTTATTAATATTTATAGCAGTAGCTATTTAACAACATAATACACGTAAATAGTCACTGAACGTAGTGGTAATAACAATAAAAAACTTGTTTTTCTATAGCCACATTTTTTTATTAGACACATTGGTTCAATGACACAAATATTTATGATAAATTTTCATTTAGGACATTCTTATTTTATTTCTTAAATATTTATAGTTGGTCCTAAATTTTATAGGAGTTGATCTGCATAGACCCTAAATACTATCGACAAAGAATTGATTAATGTGATGACTGTTAATATGTGGGCGGTGAACGATTTGCATTGAATCGCTATCGCAGTTATTTTTCGTGTACTTGCCCACGTTTCTAAGAGTTAGCGGGTACTAGGTTGATGACCATTGCTAGTCATCTCACAAATGTTCAGGAAAATTAGGCATCACGTATACGGAGAAATTAGGTAGACATGTAACACGCAGCATGTTCCCAATATCTTTATTTTATGGTCCGTTTATCGAATATAGCTCCATTCGATAAAGAAAACTAAGATTAAAGTTATGACATACTTTAACAAAAATGTAAGAACTTTGCTTAGTAATTACATTTATCGTGAACGGCTGACGCGCTATCATGTTAGTTGTTAATGTTATTGAGTATCTTATGTTACAGATAATATCGAAAATAATAAGTTATATAGATTTAGTAATATTTATATCCGATATTTGCTGGGGCCGGACATCTCCGTTGCAAATAACTTTCTCTAGCCTCAAAACCTCATACCGTCTAACATGCATTGTTTTGTGTACACACCATACGAATACATAGTGGTGAATCACTAAGAAAATAATTATTGTCCAAATATACCTTAGGAATGATACTAAAAAGTTATGTTTAAAATATCCACGTTATTCTTATTAAATTTCAAAATTCTCTAAGTTTTATTATACATTCTACTAAAAGAATAAACTATTTTAAATATGTTTCATAATTTAATCTTATTCTATGTATCACAATTTGTTAACACTTTAGCTTAGATAACTGTCGA